TGGTGTTTTTGATTTTGGCCATTCTGACAGTAGTAAGATGGTATCTCAGTGTAGGGGAAGCTGTAGCCTACTTAGGGGCTGGCTACAGGTGTGCCTGACCATGCTTTCGAGGGCGTGGTCAGGGTGGCGTAGAGTGACTGCGTTTTCTCTTTCGGTTTCACTTTGGTACTTGCTGGACAGAATGCTGCCACGCCGGCTGGCTAGGTCGCTCTGTAAGTAAGGCTTTTCCCTATTAAATACCCTGATATTTCTACCTGACTCCGTATTGGTAATTTCCCACTATATCTCAGAGTTGTTTTGATTTGCATTTCCCTGATGGCTAAGGATGCTGAACACTTTCTTATGTGTCTTTCAGCCATTTTAGATTCCTCTATTGAGCATTGTCTATTTAGTTCTGTACCCTACTTTTTAATTGGATTGTTTGGTGTTTTGGAGACTAGCTTCTTGAGTTCTTTGTATATTTTGGAGATCAGCCCTCTGTCAGATGTGAGGTTGGTGAATATCTTCAAAAATATTCTTTAAAAGATACCCACTACATCATCACACCAGAATACTAGGCTATCAGGAGTAGCCAAGGAAATGGTGTATGACCCAAGGATTGCCAAGCAGCTCCCCAGGACAGAGAGGGCATGTACATAAAGCAGCTTGAACCTCGGGCTGCAAACACGAGATATATTTATTCAGCAAACATTTATTTTTTTGTGAGTCGTTACATGGTAGGTTTTTATTTGAGAATATCTGATGCTGTTGGAAATGCACTTACAGGGTCCAAAGACACCTGCATCAGCAAACATTTATTAAACTCCTGCTGTGTTCAATGGCGGACTCTCTTCCCAGTCTAGGAATCCATCAGAGACAAAACAGACAAAACTTGGGCTCTGGAGCATCTAGGTTCTAGTGTTTGCTTGGAAATGAGTGTCAGTGTCTGCATTCTGTTCCGTGTGGGGGCAGGGCAATGTACGTGTAACTCCATGGCTTGCTTCAGTGAAAAAGCAATTGCTTCCTACAAAGCAGGGAAAGTGGCTGCCACCCTTCATGTGCCTAAGAAGTAGTAAATGGAGTTGGGTTTTTTTTTTTTTAATTTGAGCACATTGACACTTAAAACTGAGTCAGTGATGGAGAGAAGGCAGAGCCAAGGGAATTGGGGCAAAGGATAAGGGACGATGAAGGGACATGGCTCCTAGCAGCCTCTGCCAGGGTTCAGACACAGAATGCTCTAGAAGTCTCTCCCTCTGCTTGACAGACACCTCAGAAACAATCACATGCCCTTTTTTTTTAATTCTTTTTTTTTTTTTAAGACAAGTTCTCTTATAGCTTGGGCTGGACTTGAACTCACTTGTATTAGAGGGTGACCTTGAATTTCTGATTTTCTGTCTCTACCCCTCCCCCCCCCAGCGCTGGAATTAAAGGTGTGAGCCACTGTGCCTAGCACTGAGGAAGAAGTGCAGAACTTTGTGCATATTGGGCAAGCGCTCTGCCAACCGAGCTGCATGAGCTGCATCCTTAGCCCAGACACTTTCTTTAAGGGGCTCCTGTGGAGAGCAGCTGTGGCATTGGTGGCCACAGTTCCTACTGGTGGGTCATGGGCTCCTGGCACAGCATGCCCTTGGCCACTGCGGTCATCAGGCTGGTTGGAGGATAGCATGCAGCTGGCAGCTGTGCCAACCAGGAGCCAGAGGGGCAGACACCACAGCCAGTACAAAAGGAAGCAGCCTCCCTCCAAAGAGGTGCGGAGACGTGCTGATGGCCCTAGGGATTGCAGGGCTAGATGCCGAGTGGGCAGGAGGCCCAGGGGACCTGCCCATCCCACAATGGGTGGTTTGAAGGGCTTTGTTGCCTAAGGCATAGAGTTGAAGATGTTTATGAGAACCAGATGCTGGTTGGAGAGGGTGAGGGGAGGCCTAGCTTCTCATGCTGAGAAGGTTTGGATGGAGCTTTCCACCCTTTCCTGCTCTGGTCAGAAATAGACCCAGAAAAGAACTGGTATGATCCAGGCAGCCAGAACAAAAGGGGCCGCTCCAAACCCCATTGTTTTCTCCAGCAGTTCTGTGTACCAGGTGCTCATGACCCCTATTTGCACAGTCATAGAAAGTGTTAATAACTTGACCAAGCTCACATAGAGTGCTAGGTTCAGGACAGCTGGCTTCAGAATCTTAAACTTCATTTGGTGCTAACCTTGTACCTTCTACCCCGGTGGGAAGAGGACAACATCACCCCCCTTTTTTTCAGCACCCCCAGTCTGGCCAGATATTTATCACCTCTATGTCATCTCATCCCATTTGACATATGATGACACTGGGGCTCAGAGCTCATGTCATGTTGTATAACCAAGATCACACAGCTCACAACAGAGCTGGGATTTTATTTATTAATTTGTACATATGGATGTGTACATGCATACGCTCGCGCGCGCGCACACATGTGTGTGTGTGTGTGTGTGTCTGTGTGTCTTGTGTGTGTGTGTGTGTCTGTGTGTCTGTGTGTGTCTGTGTGTCTGTGTGTACATGTGTGCATGGGGAGGCTTGAGGTAGATGTTGAATGTCTTCTTTTTCTTTTCTTTTCTTTTCTTTTCTTTTTTTTTTCTGAGACAGGATTTCTCTGTGTAGCCCTGGCTGTCCTGGACCTCTCTCTGTACACCAGGCTGGCCTTGAACTCATAGAGATCCACCTGCCTCTGCCTCCCAAGAACTGGGATTAAAGGTGTGTGCCACCACCTGCCATCGAGTGTCTTCTTTAACTGCTCTCCGTCCTATTTTTGGGGTCAGGGTCTTTCAGTGAAGCTGTAGGTCACCAATTCCTCTAGACTCACTGGGAGCCCCAGGGCTCCTCCTATCTCTGCCCTCTCATTATTGAGATTGCAGGCACATTCCACTGTGCCTGGCTTTTACTTTTTATTGTTATTATTATTGGTATTAAGTTTTAACTAAAAATTACATTTGTTTATTTATTGTTTGTGTGTGTATATATGTGCATGTGTGTATCCTGAGACCAAGGGTGTGTACCCTGGTCCGGCTGGAAGACCCAGTTCAGAGGACTCAGGGATTTTGCAGGTCTGCCCCTCACCTCAGCCAGACACCTCCCAAAGTATAAGGCAGCCAGAAAAAGCCAGAGAGACCTTCAGACGGGGCCAACTGGAACCTGTGCTGCCCTTTCTCAGTCACCGCCTCTCTGCAGGGACTTCGGCCAACAGCCAGCAGTGCAGACAAGGGCTGCATGGACCTGCAGCCTGCGGCTGGCCCCCAAGGGCGGGCAGCCAGGTGCCCGTGGCCGCAGGAGAGAAGGGCCCCTCTTCTCTCCACTCAAAGGTGGATTGAGGAAGGCTGGCTCCGGGATTTTTTCAAGAAGCTCGTCGGGAGCCAGAGAATAGGAACATCTGTGTCCTGGGTTCTGTCCTGGACTCCGCTCAGGCCACAGTCTGGAGCTGGCGTCGGCTGGAGACAGGCCTGCATCCTGCTGGCTGGAGGGTGGGGCTGCTTCTGGCCTGCTGGTTGAGGAAGGCAGCCACTAACCTCCACCCTTGAGAGCCCAGAAGCGTGGCCGGGCATGGGAGGGCACACGGAGCTCTCAGGACTGGGACACGAGGGTGTCTCCACGGACTGTGCGTACAAAAGGTCTGAGACAGGTCCTAGAGTCTCAGCAAGTAGGCTTCCTGGACCCCAGGCCTTTCCTTTTCCCCTGTGCCTTTGGTGACAGGCATTTTGTGACCATTCTGAGGGTCCTTCCTATCCCTTATCCCCTTTCCCGGCTGCTCATCTCGAAACCATCTAGTCTACTGGTTTTCCCCTGACCATTTTTGTTGTTGTTGTTCTTTGTGTATTATTTATTATTTAAATTTTAATTTGAAAAGGTAGTGTATTATATTGGGGATGTAGTTCAGTTGACAGAGCACTTGCCTAGCATGCAACTCTAGGCCCTAGATTTACCCAGTTCAAAACCAGTAAAAAAAATGTAGTGAATTTATGTGGTTCAAAATTTTAAATGTTATTAAATGTGTGTGAGTGTGAGTGTGTGTGTGTGTGTGTGTGTGTGTGTGTGTAGAGAGAGGAGAAATCTCACTTTCACCTAGATTTCACCAGCCCTTCTTTTCACTACTGCCTTCCACCTTGTAGCACAAAGCAAGATACACAGAAGCTAAGGTGTACACCTTCTTGGTCAGGTTTGCTTAGTGGTGCACACCTTTAATCTCAGTACTCAGAGGCAGAGGAAAACAGATCTTGTAAGTCTGATTTGAGGCCAGCCTGGTCTACACAGCAAGTTCTAGATCAGCGAAAACTATATAATGAGACCGTGTCTCCAACAAACAAATATGCAAATTGGGAATATGCAGATATGCTTATGTTTATTTCTCTGTTTTATTTTATAATGTAATAAATTGCATACAATACATTTTTCTGTACTTTTTGTTTTGTGGTTAAACGTATTATAAGCATTAAGAAACCATCTTGATTGCTCTTTTTTTTTCCTCCAGACATTTTGAGTTTATTAAAGCACAAATAAAATGCTCAAATATATCAATCAGATAATAATACTCCTTTAGCATTTTCATATTTCCAGCTGAATAATAATCCCTTTGTGGCTGTAACATCATGTGTTAACTAGACTGTAAAGAGGAACACCTGGATTGTTTCAGTCTTCCTGTGTGAAGGCTTGGTTTATGCCAGTTTGTTCTGGTTACAGAAGACAGTGAGTGAGGCCAACACTCAACTGGCAAACTCCACCATCCATGCCAAGCCTTGGAAGAAGTACACACAAAAAACTCAGAATCCGTAAGACACAGCTTGTAGGCCATGATTTGAGCCCCATCTGATCATTTCTTGGGTAGGAAGCTAGGGTTTAGATTAGGGCCAGGCCTAGTTGGAGGTTACCTGTAGGAGAAATGGGATTGCAAAGCAGATCTGGTCCTGCTCACCACCCCTAGCCACAGAAGGCCCACAGCAAGCCTCTGAGGCCACTTAGCTAAAAGGACAGGTGGGGTTACTGTAGCCCCAGGAATAGGGCATCCAGACATCAGCCACAGATCTACCCACAAGCCTGTCCGTGGGCTTGTGTAGACTCAGATGTAGACTCAGACTAGAGCCTCTCTGAACCAACTGGTAGACACAGGCACAAATCTAGACATGGCACTCAGTCGTATCACTCAGCCATGGGTCCAACTATGGACCCCATTCTGGATCTGGTGCTGAACCCAGCTAAGGAACTAGCCCTGAGCTCAG